TTAGTATATTATCCTGATTTTGTCTTGCTTGGTCTTTATAGGAAGATGATATGATTATTGAGCTGGTTGGGAAACAGGGTATGAAGAAGCAAAACACCTTCCAGGCCGCATAGGCAAGCAATGCCGAGAAAGGTAATTACAACAGTTGGCAGGTTAAATCTCTGGGATCAGGAAATATTTCTTTGTAATTTAAGATTGTGGAACACTTTTCGTTTTTGAGAGGATTATCGTGTTTAATTTATGAAAAACTGGTGATGAGTAATAAGTAATCTGATTACTGCTAGGATAAAGAGGTGAAATCAAATTGCGGAGTGTTGTATTGGAAGAATTAATTATAGTTGAAATCAAATGTCGTGGTTGCATCGAGAAAGCTTTTGACTTTTGAGGCCAAGTTATCAAGTTGGATTTTCATTTTTGACTCACATGGTTATGATTATTGGTTTAATTGCACAAGCTTTGCGAGTAAAGAAGAAAATCTTAATGTTTGAAAGAAATGATAAATACTTGCTTAGCTAAATATTGTCACACTTACGGTAACTTAATGGGAGATGCTACTTCATATAATATAGACAATAGATCATTGCTCTAATTGAATCAATTGTGAGTGTTCATTCTATTGTGAATTGAGTCAATTGAAATTTAACGTTTATTAATTGATAGAATAAAATCAATTGAAAAATAACAGTTCATATTTTTTTGATGATTGAGTTTATTTGATTGACTGGGTTAGTAATCTATTGCTCTTCTTTTGGATCCAATATTAAGGATCCAGAATACCAACCCCCATAAATCTCCACTTGGAATATTACCTACAAATACATCTCTCTCTCTCTCTCTCTTGCAAATACTAAACAATTTGATAATTTTGTGTGTGGGAGAATGGTAGCAAATGTCACTCCACAAAACAGTGAGGAAAATTCTAAATAGTGGAAATAGTAGCTTCCAAAACTAAGAATCCCACCTATGATGATCCAAAAACTCCATACACGGTGTGTTCATGATTATGTTTCTTTATTTTTGTGTTTTATATCTCTACACAACAATCTCAAAAGTAAATAATATATATGTTTATACATGGATAGTATGTATTGTAGGTCTTTACATTGGTACACATAGAAATTATGCATGTTCTTTGCACAAGGTTGCACACATTCAATCATCCATATTCAAAGTTGGTGTCAAGTGGAGTGATGTGGTGGGGTTTGAGTGCACCAGCTGTTGTTGGAGGCATTTATCTTGGCTATGAGATTCCCACTTTTTTTTTTGATGTGTTAGCAACAAGCAAATAATATGTTGTTCCATAGGATGATATTTGTCATGTTGGTAATCTATGAAATGTTATAGTTATTGAGGCTAATATCCAATGTCCATTATTGTGAGAGTTTTATTTTATCACCACTATAATCATTGTATTTCAATTTATTTTAATTATTCATGCTTTAGTTTGTTAGAGCATACCCTTAATTGTTAGCAATGTGTTTGTGTTTATATCTTATAGTTGAGTACTTAATGGTGAATCTTTCATGATTGTGGTGTTCAAGACTTCATTGGCCTCTAAACTATGTTTATGTAATTGTGATTTTTAGGTACTATTAATCTTACAACTTTGTTGACAAGGTGGTGATTTAGTGTTTTAGTTCGAAATGGCATGCATCGTGTTGTTAATTAAAATATGTAGGTAATGCTTTGTTGGGCATGCATGCAGGTATACTGAGGATGCAATTTAAGTATTTGGGGATTCAGTTGAGATTAAAGTGTCCACGATCAATGCTTTTTTTCTTTTGTATTGCACGGTCAATTCAAGATGTAAGTTGAGCTTAATGTGTCCAGGATTAATGATTTGTTTTCTTTTGTTTTAAGTTGCAAACTGCCTTGGTGCAGTGTAGTATTCTTCGAGTGCCTTTTGTTTTAATTTAATTTTTCGTTAACTCGTGCCTTAATTTATCGTGTCTTCAGACACGAGTTATCCCTAGTATCTATATATAGTAACATCAAACAGTAACACACTCAATAAAAAAAATAATAACATCAAAATTCAAATGATACACATCAAAAGAAATTTTGAAAGTCTCATATTCTAATATTTAGATATTGAAAATATAAAAACTGTCAATTAGGTATGCACTATTTATAATAGGAGTAATTATGGAATACATTTTAAAAAAAAATTTAAAATATTTTAAAATGTGTACTTATTGACAACTATTTAATAAAAAAGAAGATTTAAAGGAGGATAAATTTGAAGATGATACTTAAAGTCAAGTTCTAAAAAAAATACTCATATCTCATTATCTATTTTTTAATTGATGAACTTTTCCCAGGAAACTATTGGTCAGTGAAATCTACACGACATCATATTACTTTACTACCTTTTCCCCACGAAAAATTTCGTCGATGAATTGCTAATAAATTTTTATTTAATTTTGTCTACTAAATTTATCTTGTTGCCCAAACTAAAAACCATATTAAAAAAGTTTAAAATTAATTTATTTTATTAGCTACAAAAAAAAAATATATGACTCTTGTAGTTAAATGTGTAACGGACATTAATAAGTGGGGCAATGTTAAACTAATGATATAGTTGAGAGTTCAATGTAAGAAATTTGGTAGTTGAGAGAGCAAAGTGAAAAAAGGTGATAGTTCACAGGGTGTAAGTGTAATTTACCCTTCAAAATTCTTTGAATTTGATGGGGTTGTCTTGTATATGTTGTAGATTTTGTTACAGAAGGTTTGAATTAACTATTTGAAGCATAACTTATGTATTGCTTGTAAAGAAAAGCGGAGAGAAGAAATATCTTTAAATATGATATTAGTAGGGTGAGAAATAATATTTTTTTTAAAAATGATATTCAATATATGAGGTTTGTCGATTTTAATATGATTCCTTTGGTGATTATGAGAAGTAGTAGTTTTTTATGTGTTCCTTGTGGAAGTTATTTCTGTCAACATTTTTGATTATGGGTTTTTTGTGGATATTTTCTTTGGTGGTTAGGAGAATGTAGAATAATAACCTGAACAGTGTATGAAAATCCTACCAATTAGACATTTAACCTGACAAAAGGTTTCACCTAACATTTTCATTTATAGTCATTCCGGTTTATTACATTTTCCATAGTAATTGTGATAAAAAAAAAATAAAGTGATTAATGGAGCATCTATATTGATTTTAATTTTATGATGATTTTGATAGTATTTTTGAATCAAGTTTTTTATGAGATGAAAACAAATCCTTTATGATTAAAACATATATCGTTAGAAACATGTAAGATTTTTTTTGGATTTCAAAGAACTAAAATATTACTAAATTATGGTCTTAAAATAGTTATGTTTTGGTGACTATAGTGGAATGCAAAAAAAAAAAAAAACATAACAACTTCATTTCGGATGAATCTACAATCTGTTTGTCCCCACGTATACTGTGAAGAATCTGTGTTCAATAGGAACCATCATGATACCCCAGCTATGAATGTTTACATTATAATGACTACACATATATTTATATTCAAATGTATTGCCAATGTCTATGTCGATAAACACTCCTTTTGCTATTAAGAATTTTCTACTTATTGCTTTTAATTTTAATCTTGAGATGGAGAAGAAGAAAAGTTGCTCTAGGAGGAGCGATGTCAGCAACGGTTAATGTCACTCCAAAGAAAGTTTTATTTTGGCATTTTTAGGTTGGCATGCATTTATTAGTTTCTATTTTCTTTTAGTTTTCTCTGGATATGATTGTACGTGGAGTCTAATTTTCATGTCATCATCCTAGGTATTTTTTGTTAGATAATAACATTATGGTATGAGCAAGCTTAGTAACCTAATGATCATGTAGACTCAAGTTGGAATCTAACTTATTATTTATGTTTCAATATAAGGTCTTTTAAGAATAATTTGGCCAAGCAATACTTTGCTAAACACAATAAGCAAGATTAAAATATCCAACTAGTATCAGTAAATACTAGTAGATACAACACAAACATGTGTAGTATACTGTGATTAAAAATATAAGAAATATTAAAATATTTATTGTAGTTAAAATATTATTAACGGGCCTTTAGTTCAATGATACTCCTTATCTTGTGAAGAATTTGTCTATTTGAGGTCAAGGGTTCAAGTTTCCCCTCCAAAAAAAAATAAATAAAATAAAATATTTATTGTGAGTTGAAAAATTAATCATTGATTTATAGTAATCTAGGTTGTTGTTGTACTTTATGTTTCTGAATCTTTTTATTTTATTTTGGATCGAGGAAGGCTATAAAATACATATCTCTATATAGCTAGTAAAACTACACACATCATACCCAAATCCCACAAAGGTGAGAGCTTGGTCCTCGTTAAATCTAACATATATAATCATTTTATGTAGATTAGCCCGGTAACGCACTCTTTCTTTCAAGAGTTTTTTGTGTTATATAAGAATCCAATAACTAATGTTACAAATTATATTTAAACCAAAGTGAATATTTAAACTACAATACACCTTTTAACCACTCACTTATGTTTTAATCACACTTACATTTTAACGACATTAAATATTTTAATCATTTGATTACACTTTAGACTCCGTTGTAAATATTTTAACTCTTCACTTCCATTTTGATTACAATAAAAGAAAGAGTGAATTGCATCGGAATACTATAGTCTGTGTAGTAAAACAGTGCACAGATTGAACATAAAGTACAACAACGACCTACATCACTTACATCCAACAACTAATCATAAAACCTACAATTTTAAGCTAAATAAACATTTTCATCTTGTTTATATTTTAAGTTCAGTAAATATACATTTGAACCATAGTAAAGGAAAAACAGATTGCATGGGATACCCTAGTACAAGTATTATTTGTAATTTTACACATACACATACATTGTATATACATACACAGTAGTCATTTGGGATCAAGTAAACTTCTTCTCTCCAGAACAGCAAAATTATGAAGATTCGAATCCATGAGATCTCAATTAAATGCAAAGGAAATGATGAACTAGTTCATGGAATTGGTGAATTCTGGAAAAGGACAAACTATATACTACGAGTAAGTGCAAACAATTAACATAATTTCTCTTGCACATGTAAAGTTGAATGCTTCAACATTGTTTTATTACAATTAGCTATACTTTACTGAACACAAACCACAAACACACCCACACACATATCAGTTGTTACCAGTAGATACAGGATCACTTGGAGCTAGTTACTTGCCCCTTTTTATTCAATTCTACATACGTTGGATCTTGGTCCACTTCGATCTATGTTAATATATCAGCATTTCCTAGTCGGGTTGCGTTTATGTATTCTTGTGGACCATGAGCTACTAAACCAGCGAGTGCGGCGACTCCGAAAACCCTATACAATTGGAGGAGCCAACTTTCTCTGTATTCTGGTCCATGTTTGAAGGGAATGATAAAGCTTCTTCCCAGCTCCTTCAGGGCATATATCTTCTTTGTAAAAAATGATTGGAGGGAGAAGTAGTCCTGCATTGGTTCTTCAGCAACTCTCTGTATGGTAAAGGAGAAATAATTTGAATCAGTGGTCAGTGGCAGAGACATGCATGTACATGTATATTTACCATCTCCTGCAATCTCATATGCTTCTTTTTAATATTTTCGGCAGGAATAAGGTTCGGCTACATGTAGTTTCTTTAACAGAAAAAAAAAAAAGGAAAGAAACATTGTTCAATATTAACACGACATGAATCTAACACTATAAAACTAGACAAGGCTTACAAAGTTGATATAAAATTGATACGGAATTAGTGAGTTTGAGTTTAACATTACTGAATTTGAATGGTAAAACGAGTAAACCCATTAAGTCCATCAAACAAATGAGTTGACCCAAATCTGTCTAAACACGACATGAACCAAACAATGATTTATAGCCTTATACATGACTTATACACAATATAAACCTGACTATATACTATTATAAAATGGATTAGATACAGTTGAACAAATTTTCACATGACACAACTTATTAACAAAACTAACCACAGAAATCCAAAAATGACACAACCTTATTAGCTCGATCAAATAATATATAAGCCAGTTATTACTATACATTACTAACCATTTTAGCAAGTAATATAAGAGAAAAAATGAGCATTTTTTTTATTATCATTATTTCTTACCTGTCCCTCATAGTTGGTATCATAGTAGAGGCATGTCCCAAAGTGCTTAAACATTAACGTGTTGTCGTCAAAAGGCAGCCTAGGAATGATATCATGGCTGTAAACGAACCTAAAATATCGAATACCATAATCTTTAAACTTTCCTTCCATGAAATCCCCAAACTTTTTGTTTCCAACCCTAGGCTGCCCAAATGTGTACACTGCCTCCACCCTCTTCAATATATCTGATTCTTCGTGCAACACTAGCACTGCCGAAAAGAGAATTGCTAGTGCGCCGCCCAAGCTGTGTCCGGTCAGAATGAATTTCGTCCAAGGATTATTCCGAAAGATCTCTCTCAGTTCCTCTCGGATGGTGTAGTAAGCTAACGGGTGATTATCGTCTCTTTTGGCTATTTTAGGCCATGTTTCATCCTTCTGTAAGCCCAAGGCTTTCATAAAACCACTATGGACTTTTCCGGCGCCTTCCCCGAACTTGAACCAAGAGATATCGATGTCGGTACTAAAGGCATCAGCATCGAAGGGGTCAGTGCCTCTGAATGCCACCACGATCATATCAGGGTTGGCATTTTTATCGTGAAGCATGAAAGATGGTGTTGAATGCTTCTCCTGATACTCTGCCAAGCATAGAATCATCTTATATTACAGAATTAAAAATTCTATGACCCTCTAAGAATAAGGAGAGGATTATAAGTTGTCCAAGGATAAGATCTTAGGCATATATTACCGTCATTTTATAATCCTTCATTTCTACATTAGCTTAATTTTAAATGTACCGTTTTTGTATATAATGTAACATTATATTTGTACAAAAATTTTAAAATGTTACAGGTTTATCTGGCAAACACGCTTTTTATACAAAAAAGTGTGGATTTGTCAATTTTTGAAAGATACCTCCGACATTTTTCAGGTAAACAATAGTACATGATTAAGAAATAAGTTCACAACTAAGCTAAAACGACAATAAAATTCAAAAAGGACCGTAGTATGATCAGAAACTCTGATAGTAAATAATGCTTATAATGGGAACAAAAATTTTGTGTTTTTATACTTGCCATTCCAAAAATCATAAGCGCCCAATAGCTTCATCTGCATGAAAGGAAAAAAGCAGTTGTAATAAAAATGAAATACACGATTAAAAAAAAAATTAAAATGTGAGTTCAATATTTGATCAAATTAAACCTTCCACCGATCTTCAACTGTAGCTTTTATGAATGCTTTATTCTCGTATGCTATTTTGGAAGCCATTGCGCAGAGTGCCGGAAAATATCTGATATCTCCAGGTCTGATGAGGCTGTCTAAATCCATTCTCGGGTCCAAATACCCGACAGTTGACAAATATTTGTCTGATTCTTTCTCCGATGCATTGGTATTCCCTGCAATACATGCATTCATAATCAATTATTCACTCTTCGTTCTGCGAAGCAAGAGGATTTTAAGACCTTCTTGACTCGATCTAAGAAGTTCATAACAATGATGCACAAAGCAGAAAAAGGAGATGATGTAATCAAAAATCTTAAGTAAGAGAGAAATGAATCGATGATGATGACTAGGTCAAAATCCAGAGGATTTAGAATGGCGAAGGATAGAAGGTCACAATCATCACGAACTAGGGATGGAAAGAAAAAATACAACAAGAACGAACAGATTCCTCAGGCATCTAGGCAAATTGAATCTTTTGTTTTTAGATATATCATTGTTCACTCTTTAGCATATAAAAAGAAAATTTACAGCATGAAGTTATGGAGGATATAGAGTTGGAGGCTAGAAGCATCCCAAATAAGTAGAAATCCAATTGTTCTGTATGTTAGGGGAATATATTCATAGGAATGATGTTATTTGAACTAAATTTATTATTATTTCCTAATAATTGCAGAGTTTTGCTCATTGTTGGGGTACACTAACAATAACCGCTCATGTTACAATTAAAGTTCTCACTTACAAAAATTATAGTAGATAACATGAAACTTCATCGTATACAGAGTTCTAGTTCGGGTTGCAAATGAAACAAACCAAGTCGACTATCAAATTGTTGACTAGACTCGTTGGTAATAATTTTTGGGCTCAAGTTGAGATAGCGATGAGCTTCAAACATCAGTTCCACATTGGCTTGTTAATTTTTTCTTAACTTGGTCTTGATTCACCTCAACCCATTGATAAAATGGAATTTAAACTTATGTTCAAGCTTATACTCGAGTCCAAACTGGTATTCAAGATCAAGTTAAATTCAGCTCATATGTACATACATGTCTCTATATATATGTGCACTCAATTGTCACGAGTTTGACGAGCAAAATAAAACATTGTTCAAGCTCAACTTTTTTATCTAAGGATGACAATGGACCAAAGTGAGAGAGGGAGGTGTAATCTCCATCGCCGTACCCTCTTAAAAAAATTTCGTTCATCCCCGGTCCACCACCGTTAATGAGTATAATTTTTATCCTCATCCCTGTCTACGGATAAATTTGTAATCCCTGCCACGCCTCGTCGCCTCCTTCATCCCAGCCCCCGCCCCCCCCCCCCCCCACCTTACCGACCACAGCCCAAGCCTAAACTCAAGCCCAAGCCAACATAATCCAAAATTCTAAATAAATCTAACATTCTAAATAATCCAACATAGAATATCATAAAATAATTAAAAACTTGTTATTTACAATATAATCCAACAAAATATAATTAAAATTTTGTCTACAACATAATCCAACATAATATAATTAAAAGTTTGTCTCCCATATATATCCAACACAACATTATGCAACACAATATAATGTAACATAACATAATTCAACTAAAAAAAAAAAATCTACACTTTTACAAGTCAAAAACATGAAAAAAAAATATCAAAAAATAAAATAATTTTCAAAAGAAAAAATTATTTAATAATATGTAGATTTGTATTCACAACAATATGTGGGTGTGTGTGTATATATATATATATATATAATAACAGGTAAAGCAGGGCGGGGAGGGACGGAGCGGAGGCGGTGTGGGGGTAAGTATCAATCCATCCTCGCCTTTATCTCTACACGGATTTATATGAATATCCCCATATACGTCTACCATCAAATACGTATAGTCCATCTTTAGTCCAAACAAAGCGGGTTTAAACGAGTACTCGCTTGTTCCCTGGTCAATTGTCATCCCTACTTTTATCAAATGAGCTCTACAATTGAGTCTAAACTCAGTCATTGCATAAAATGAATGAACTTAAACGAATTCTGAAACAAACTGACCCTGCATTATTCAAGAATGGCTCATCTTGTTTTGCTGACCATGCAAATCAATGGGTACCATGGAAAGAAAGCAGACATTGTAACAAGTTTAGTAAAAGCACACAAAAAGTTGTTACCAGACAGAAGGTTCAGCCCCCACCCAACAGTTGATCCAATCCATGACATGGGACCTGACGCGGCTCGCAGAGCCGTCTGCCCTAAGGTGGAGAGAAAAATGATCCCTCTGCGCTCGAGCATGGTCTCTGTCACTTTGAGACACTTCATAAATTCTCTGTCATCTATTTCACTCGAACCTAAGATGCGAAACAACTCTAAAAATGTTGCTTCATCTGGGTTTAGAAGAAGATGTTTTTTGCTAATTTGGTCATTGGAAGCCATTGGTGTGGAAGCAAATGAAACAACTGTTGATATCATTCAAATTCTACAGGAGAAACATATATATAGACATACCGTCTATCCCCGGAGAAGAAATTGGAATCAATTCTTTTGCCACCGTGATTTCGCAAAACACGTTTTTACATTCAAAATGCGAGATAAGTTAAGAATCTAGTGCCAAAGGAAGCAATGGTTTGGAAGCCGGCCAGTTCTTGATTTCATTCAAACTCAAATGCTGAACATGTATGAACATTAAGTTATAAATCAATGAGGTCAAATTTCTCCAAAAAAAAAAAAGTAGTTAGAACCAATCATTATATTAATTTTGACCTAAATAATCTTATTTGGTCATAACTCCAGCCTAGCTTACGCATACCTCGACTAATCACTTTCTCGATTAGATTAAAAGCAGGTCATCAATATAAGAACTAGGGTATTCATGAGAGATTTTCTCAAGGTCTGATCTCAAGGAGTAGTTAAGATTCGAGTTCAATACGTTTAGATTTACAGCTCGTCCATATTACCACTTAAACTACCTCTCGAAATTATATGGTCGTAACTTCACTAAATTGAATTATAACATCATCTCTATTTTATATAAAATTTGAGCACAATATCATAACGTAATTGTTTGGTATTGTAATCTTACCCATAAAAAAAAATTCATTTCAGGAAAAGCTCCTTAGTTTTGTTGGATTTGATTATTAATTTTGAAGCACATAAGGAATGGCGTGTCCAATTCAAAAGCTCATGAATTTGAGTGGGGTCTCTATGGCTTTTTGCCTGGTTAAAGAAAGGAAAAGTACTTTGCCTGGTTAAAGAAAGGAAAAGTACTTTGCCCTCATGTTCAATATACTTCATTTTTTATACCTTTTTTGTCACTCCAAGAGTTCCTCCTCTTTAATTTTTATAGTAATATTGTTATTAGGTCTGGATGAAGAGAATCTTATTTCAAAGTTATCTTTAGAAGTATGGAGAGGGCTGTTTGATGACACAATTTAAGGCTTAAAACTACATAATTTAAAACACATTTTACACTTTTAGTTTTTCAATACCCACCATCCACCACCACTACAACCACCATTGTTCTACTGTCGCCACTATCACCACTGTACCACCACCATCGCCACTACCACTGTCACTACCACCACCACCATTGTGTCACCACCACTACTACCATTACGCCACCGCCGTCGCCACTACTATTGTATAACCGCCACCACCACTATTATGCCACCACCATCATTGTGTTGCCACTACTGTCGCCGCCACCACCACCACCACCACCATCATTGTGATAGTGGTTGTAAGAATAAAGTAATTGCAGAGAGATGATTATAAAGATGGAAAAAATTTAAATAATAATAAATTTTAAATTTCAACTCTTTATGTTTGTCAAACAGTTGATTCAATTTAATACTTAAATTTTAATTGATATCAATTAGATTGCAAATTAAAGATTCAATTTAGCACTTAAAATTTAAAATTTAGTTTTTAATATTCAATTTTTAGTTTTTTATCAAACACCACCTAAATACTTCAATAAATGCATTCTATTTTGACAAAATAACATAATTTAGGGTGAAGTGTGACTAGTCAACATAGGCCTCACAATTTTAGAGACCATACATAAGTTGGACATGATATTGGTGCAAAATTAACGGGTTTGGATAGTAAATAAGTAGATCTGCTAGACACGTTAGATAAATGGGTCGACACAAACCTGGCTAAAGTGCAACTTTCACACGATACGAATTCCACTATACATAATTATAAATAAGTTTTGTTTAAGTTAAATAAATTTTGACATGGTACAACATAAATTCAACACGATACGATATGATCCGCTAGCAATCATTGAATACAGTCTTACGGAATTATTTCAACAGTTAAAGAATCTAAACACTGCAATAGTGTAGCAATGACAAATCAGAATTATTAGATAAGGGTTGTCGGAGTCACAATTGTGTCATTTGGAATATGCGTCAACTATTAGTCAATTCTAATTTTATTTTTTTTATTTATTATATCAAGTAATTCGACACTAATCCAATTTTTCACTAAATCAACCAAAATTCCATAATTAAGACTTCTTCTCTGTCAACTAAATCAAGCACTCATAGTTTTTCCATAAATTAGTTGTAAAATTGAAATAAGAACTTTTTGCTGGCCTGAAAGTATTTTCTCAATACTATATCTAAAAAATGGAAACTAAAAAAGCCTAGAATTTTTTTCCAAAATATAAAAGCCAAATGTGTTTACCATGTCAAAATAAGTCCGAATGTTATTAGTTGACGCTCATCATATTGTTTTTTTGTGTTTTTGTCGAGAACTAGTCGGCCATAATACACTAATTTTTAAGCGACTGTCATGTGGAATATTTTCACCTCGGGTCCCCATCATAACTGACAATTGCTTTGCCTCTAAGCCTTTGATATTCTGATTCCGATATAAGTATTCTTCTTTCTTCTTTCTTCTTCTCTTCTTCTTTCTTGTGAATGGGACGTAGGCACATAGCCCCAACTTATTAAAATCCTGGAGTGCTTTAGGGAAAGACATTGGTGCTTATTATTAGAGGTGTCAATCGAATCTTGTTGTGTTGGCCCATAATATGTTTAAATCGTATTATATTTAAGTGGTATTTTTGTGTCGAGTCCATGTAATTTTCATGGCAATAAAAATTACTTAGTTTCAAAAATTCATAGAATACAATATAAAAAACAAAAGACAAAAAAAAATTATACCTTTTCTTGATAATGACAAATAAACGACTGTTTGTCACTACCATTTTCCCGACACATTTATTTGTGTCAATTTATCGTGTGTCATTCTCAAATTTTCGTGCTTTATTTGTATTAAATGTAAAATGAATACCCCTATTTCCTAACTAGGGAGATTTTGTGAGAGGTCTAAAGGGAGGTACTTTTTTGGCCTTCAGTCCAACCCCAACACTTTTAATATCAAAAATCTATAAAATTAATTTTTGACAAAAATAACTTTAATGAAAGATGTTATTTAAAAACCTTCACCGTTATCCTATTTTTATATTTATTATCATTACAATCATCATCCCACCGCCGCCACCACCATTCGCCACCACCACTCACCGCCACTATTGTCAGCCACCACCATCCATCGCCACCACCCCCAACCACCATTGTTGCCAGCATTCACCACCCATTGCCGCTACCAACCACCACCACCACCACCACCCAAGACTGCTACCCATTATTGTCAACCATTTCCACCGAAAATCCACTACCACAACCAACCACCACCACAACCACTCGTCGCCACCACCACCAACCCCAAAACCCACCACCACTAATTATCGCTGCTAACCACCCACCACCATCGTCCACTACCACCAACACCATCGCTATCAACACCACCCACCACCTCCACTTTCGCCACAAAATCACCATCCAAAACTCACCAACATTGCCCACCATCATCATCATCTCCACCACCCCTCAAAACAGTGAAAAACTAACGAACTCAAAAATAAAAAAAAATAAAAACATAATCAATAAACTTTAATATAATGAAACTCTTCATTCACAAAATAGTGAAAATTTAGCCCACAACTTTCCATCGCCACCACCCACCACCCACCATTTCCGCCAACCACCTCCACCCACCACTTAAAACAGTGAAAAACTAGCCCACCACCACCACCATTCATCACTGCCACCACCACCCATCATCGTTTTCCAATACCACCCACCACCATCACCGTCAACACAAACAATCACCACCCATCATTACCACTAATGACCACTAGCCAAAACCCACCCCACCCATGGCCACCATCACCTCCAATTACCACCACCACATGCCATTTAAAATAGTGAACTCAAAAATATTTTAAAAAATATAAATAGGAAACTAGTTAACAAAATTTTTACAAATAGTGAATTTTAATATAATGAAACTCTTAATCCAAAAACTTTTCATAAACAATAATATTTAATAGAATAAAACTTCTACTTCACAATTCAAAATTTTCACAAACAATAAATTTAATAAAATGAAACTCATAGTTCACTGTCCAAAATTTTTACAAACAGTAAAATGAAAAAATATTAAAAATTTCAATTGAGAAACATATATCAAAAATTTTGAAAAAATATAAACAGTGAATTTTAATAGAATAAATCTCATAGTTCATAAAATTTTAAATTTTACTATTTCAATGATGGTGAAATAAATTTTGTCATTTCACTGGTTACCTATTTTACTTGATGTTGAAATATACAAAATTTTAAAACAGTAAATTTCATTTAATTTTAATGTTTCAGACAGTAAAATTTTAACTTATTTAACTGTTTCGGTCATTGAAATTGGGACTCAATTTTATCTCATTTATTTGGTGTTGAAATATGAGAAATTTGAAAACAGTAAATTTTATCTAATTTTAATATATTAGATACTAAAAATTTAACTTATTTAATAAAACATAATTAATTGCATAAAAATTGTATATACCAAAAGTAGCGAACTCAAAATTAGTGAAAAACGTAAACTCAAAAATAATTAAAAAAATTTAGAGAACCCTAAAATAGTAAAAAAATACTGAACACAAAAACAGTGAAAATTAGTAAACAAAAAAATAGTGAAAAATTAGTAAACTCAAAAACAATGTAAAATTACTCAACTCAAAAACATTAAAAAATTATTGATTTCAAAAACAGAAAAAATAGAGAAAAATTACTGAATTCAAAAATAGTGAAAAACAATAAACTCAAAAATAATCAAAAACAATGAAAAATTACTGAACTTAAAAACAGTAAAACAACAGTGAACTCAAAAATAATTGATCACAACATACTATCCCAAATTTAATCAAAACAACAAAAAATAGTCTTTTTCAAATTCACCCTCCTTAGAAAATGAAAAAAAAACCTATTTCATTTTATATTGAACAAATCCTTGCCACATTGACGAAGTCTCTGTCACATTATAATGCTTTCGCAACAATTTAGAATACAAGCATCAAAATCTATGGCACC